GGAAAATCCAACATTAGAAATTATGTTTGGTCCAGACATTTTCCCCCTATAAATAAATACCCGGGCAACACCAGGCTATCAACTAGTGAATAATAAAAGTTACAACCAGCCTTTCCACCTATGCGCTGTTTCTATGAGATGTTACAATTTGGAAGAAATGGGACAGGATGCATTTCACCTTATGAATCTACAATGCGCTACCAGTATTCCCACATACATACAGTACATCAAATGGCTACAAATGGAAGGCAACTAGAAAAAGTAAACATCCTTACCCGGCTCTCCCGAGTGACATCCTGAACTGATAGCTGGACCATAGGATTAGGCTCCTTACTAGATTTCTTCAGCTGGGTAAAGTAAGAGGAGATAAATGATAGCATTCATCTGGGAAGGACATAGTGAAGAATCTTAGAAGACTTAGATGAGGGAATAGAAGGGAAACTCATCAAATCTGCAGATGACACTAAACTGGGCAGAATAGCAGCCAAAAAAGTTAATACAATTCTTGCTTGTATAAACAGAGGCATAAAATGAAAATCATGTGAAGCATTATGAAGCCTTAGTAAGACTACATCTGGAATACTGCATCCAGTTTTGGTCATCACATTACAAAAAAAGATGCTGAGACTTTTGGAAAAGGTACAAAGAAGAGCAATTAAGAAAATTAAGGGCCTGGAGACAAAAACATGAAGAACGGTTGCAGGAGTTGGGTTATGGCCAGTCTAGAGAAAAGAAGGACTAGAGGGTGACAGGATAGCAGTATTTCAGTATTTCAGGTTACTGAAATATAGTTACTGGTAGTAGGATATGTGTTTAGAAATGTAGTCTGTCAAAATTTTAGGTCAACATACCTAAGAAAAAAGCTCCTCACTTTTCATTTATAGAACTTCTAAGTTAAGAAGAAACTCAACACAATCTTGGATAATGTAATACATTGATCAACTCTGAAGTTAATTTTGTTTACCTACATTAACTAATGCAAAGGCAAAACAGCATTTCAATTTTACAAGATGATCAAACTTGGGCCACATGGCAGAATGTTTTCTGTACAAAGCTGCATGATGGAAGTTGCATTGAAATGAGCTCTTTAACATCTTTTACAAGTTTCTCTCGTGTTTATTGGAACAGGTCTTTCTTTTATGTACCTGGACTACTGATTTCTAAGTATCAATTACAATATAAACAAAAAACATGTACACAGAAAGCAGAACACTGTGGCTAAAACACTGCTGCTGGTCACCATAGGATATTTATGATCATATTTTTATTATAAATAGTTGTAAACTACCTAGAGTCCAACATGAGGAAGGTAATGTACGGATTTCATGTATAAATAAGTAGCTTAAAAAAGACACTTGCTTGTGGCTGCTTTGCTCCATCACTCTGCCCATGCCTTCCCAACCGTTGCAATTCCCAGAGTTTCCAAATTTTGGGATAGGACAAACTTATAAACATCAAACTCACATCCAAGCTCTGCCCCATTTCATATTAAAAAATGACTTTTGGTGAAATAAAAGAATCTATTGTGAAGGAGATGCTATCTTGCGACTACTCACTGGTAAGTCTTGTGCTCTGTCTAAATATATCACCAAGATGGCTGCTGACGGAGGATCTGGCTTTGTGGAGATAGTTTTGTTCCACTGAAGAACCTTCAAACAGCATATAAGAAATAAATCAGCATTAACTAGCACTTTTTAATACAATACCTAGCATATCTATATCCTATAGCCATGATTGCGAACTTGTGGCATGCAGAGCCATTTCTCTGGGCATGCGAGCCGTTGCCTGTTGCTCTTCCGGGTTCTGGTGCACCGGCCAGCTGGTTTTCACGTGCAAGGGAGCACCGGAAACCGGAAGAGCAGCCGCACGATGTGCATGTGCACCCTAGGAAGATGATCTTCTGGCACGCACATGCGCGCTAGCCAGCTGGCCTACACACACATGCGTGCCAGAAACTGGAAGACCAGGTGGCCGGTGCGCATGCATATGCCGGAAACCAGAAGATCATCTTATTGGGGTGTGCATGTACACCAGGCAGTTGCTCTTCCAGTTTCCGGCACACACACATGCAGTGCCCCAGCCCATTTCAGCACTTGGTGCCAAAAAGGTTCACCAACACTGTCCTATAGCATATCTACGATCTCACCGAAGACACCCAATTGTGTGTCAACATAGTTTTAACAAGAGAATATGTTTACAAGCCATTTTTCATGTTCAGTTTTCTTCTAAAGCTGTGCTTATCTTCATCCTAGTTTATATCAGAGCCTTCTTCTGAGATTATTCCCCCAATTCCCCAGTTAGTTTCCCATCATGCCTCCCGAGCCACAGAACCCTGCTTGCCTTGTGGAAATAATAAAAAATATATGTCAATTGGCAATTCATGGTCCAAATTTAATCCACAATCCTATCTAGTTCTCATAATATGTATATTTCTCTAAGGAACGTTTCCTCTAAATGTCTAATTTAAAGTTTTGAGACTCACCAATCTTTGGCTTCTCCAAAAGGAACTCATGTAACTAGATAGGAAAAACCAAGACTCTGGAATCCTTTGTCCATCAGGGTAAGCAATAAGTTGGCATATCTTCTTATTTTCACCCCCCCCAAAAAACAACAACAACAACACTAAATCACTAAATGTTTCTTCTCTAAGTGTTTGCACTCACCTGATCCAACATGGAAACATCTGACATGGGTGTATGCCATTCCATCCGTAAATGCACACGCGCCTGGCCCCCATCTTGTAACGGGAACCACTGTCAGGAAAGCAAACAGAAAGGAAATTAGAAATTCTCAATGGATAGGGAAAGCCTTAATATTTACCAACAGAGATTTGTTCCTATAACTCAGGGATGCATAACTTTTTTTTAGGGGGAGGGGGCTGAAAACTCTGATCTTGAGTGATGTAGCAGGGCTACATTCCGTATATCAGACAAAGGGCAAAAGTTAATTTTGCATTAAATGAAATCAATTCAGTTAATTGGAATATACTCCCTTTAGTTAGGAGTTTCCTCCTATTAAAATTACAATTTCGTAGCAACATTTGAAGAGGCATTTGTGGCTGTTGATAGTTCTGGATCCTCAAGTTGTACCTTTTTGATTTTGTAAGATATACAAGTTGTTACAGACACATACAAAAGTTCTATGACACTTTTAAAATCTCTCTACCGTCCTATTCTCTTCCCCCACCCACAAGAGCCTTTATAGTCCCCCTTGTTTTCATTTAGCTGAAGATACTCTATTCATGACCGTACCCTTGCAGTTGGGTTTAGCCAACCTATGGTTGGTTCTAGGTATGAATCAGCCATCTTCCCTCCTCAGTGCTCACCTCCTCTAACACACGAGCTCTGAACACCTCCCCAAAGTCCAGCTTCATCCTGAGAAAAGAAAGAAGATGCTGATAAAGGCATACCCACCAATTCTAGGATTTTAATGAATAGGCCCAAGTTGCAGTCAGATTTATGCAGACCTCGTATATCCAACTTCTTGAGCTGGGGTTGAAGCTGCTGATCTTTAGCCTGGATTTTTAACTGTTTCTATTTTTTTTTTTAATACTGTCCCAATCATCTCCAGCAGTGAAGTTCCAATTTCCAACCCACCATCGTTCAACTAGGTCTCAATTTCCTGCTTGATTTGAAACCAAAACCCACCCAGCTTCTCACCTGCCCAAGAAGTCATCCTGATCGGGATCTTTGTCAAACAGCTCCACCTCCAGTTCCTGCCCTGGTACCTCGTGCACAACAAACTGTAGGGACAGTGAGGTGGGGAGTCAGAGCAGATACCACTAATTGTGCAGGGCATAGGAGTGCTTCTTCCAACAGTGAAAGGAAAGCAGTGATAGTTGTATTGCATGAAATGGGAAAGCTAAGATAAGAAGGGAGATTAGACATGACGTGTAGCATCCCTCAACATTTATATTTAAATTACCACCTTACCAGGGGGATAATTACCTCATACATTTCATTCCACTTGGGATTGAGGTCCTCATCAATGACTTTGCTGGTGAAGACCTGGGTTCCAACACGCACAATGGCATATGGATCTGACTTGCCCTCAATCATCCCTTTAATATACTTATCCTTGGACTGCACGTTCTTAGCCTCCATTAGATACACACGGACAATGCCCTGGAAGGGAGAAAGAAGATCATGTCCACCAGTCTAACTCACCAAGCAATAACATTCGTCCCACCAGCAATTTTGCCTTACCCTGGGAATTGGGCAACGGAGTTCAGCTGCTTCATGGAGATCAGGGATGAGTGGGATGAGCAAGCGGTTGGGGAGAACCAAGAAAGAGGCAATGGAATCCATGATCATTGTGTCAGACAGTGAGCTGTTGAGGAAAATAGATCCTGCTGGTCACACTACTTTTTTTTTGTATATAAAGTTTTTATTTTTTTTCATTTTCATAACATATAATCACATGTATACTATTACATAGCCAACATCGTATTGTATTATTAAATGTTTA